GGAAAAGAAAATGTTTCTTGTAAGGACGAGGGAGTCTGTCTTGAGCACCATCTCTTCCCAGCACACTAGGCTACCCTAGACCACCCAGTGCTTGGTGAACAATCTGATTCAGAATGAGGCCCTTCGCCTTTGGAAGTCAAGGGCTTTTTACCCTCTGGACCTCAGCTTTGGAGAACAAGGCCATTTCCCATCAGCTTCTCTTTGCTTCATTTCTCCAGTATCGGTCTCTTGTCTTAGAGCCCTGTGTTGGCTGCAGAGGGGTCCTTGGCCCAGACTCACTCTGGGGCTCAGGCTCCTGACTCGGGGCAGCTCACCTCCCCACACCCCACAACCTGTCCCAAGAGTGAAGGCACCGCAGGTTCCTCCCCAGCCAGGCCAGGCCATGCCTCACACCCACCTGAACCTGTCTGGATTTGAAATCCCTTTGGTCCTCCAAGCCTCAGGTGAAAGGCATGAGCTGGTATGTCTCCTGTCACCATGTAGCTGGCCAGGATAAGAAATAGGACTTTGGAGTCATTTTCCTACTTTTTGTGGGAAGTAAACCACTTGGAGAAACTTGGAAGAGGTAGAGATTTAGTCATCCAGAAAGAACGCAGACATCTCTACCTGGCTCCCTGACTGATGACTTCGTTCCTTTCAGTTGGGGTGAACTTGTTCTATTTCTGCATCATCATATACCTGTATGGGGACCTGGCCATCTATGCTGCAGCTGTGCCCTTCTCCCTCATGCAGGTGACCTGGTGAGTATCCCCTTTGTCCTGACACCAGCTATAGCAAATTAGCTTCCTCGGCTAGTCAGAGTGTCCAGGAGAAGCATGATCCTGAGTATGCCTGTTGGTGTCTAAGGAATGTAGATGCCTAAGGCCTTTCTCTACACAGACCGCAGCCAGCCATGCCTTTTGTCCCTTTCCCTGCCCCACTGGGAAGATAGTAGGCTTCCCACCAAGGGTTCAGTAACAGGAAGGGTTTATCCTAAAACATGTATGCCAGAGTATGGTTTTAAAAAGTCAGATTGGGCTCAGCAGTTAGGGTGCCAGCCACATATACCGAGGCTAGTGGGTTCGAACCTGGCCCAGGCCTGCCAAACAACAGTGACAACTACAACAAAAAAGATAGCCGGGAGTTGTGGCAGGCACCTGTAGTCTCAGCTACTTGGGAGGCTGAGGCAAGAGAATCGCTTAAGCCCAAGAGTTTGAGGTTGCTGTGAGCTGACACCACGGCACTCTACTGAGGGTGACATAGTGAGACTCTGTCTCAAAAAAAAAGCCAGATTGTTGGCACTGACACAGCTGTGCAGGCAAGTGGCTTCTGTCTCTCCCAGCCAAGCAGGGTGGCCACACTGAGCCCAAGTCTGCTGTCATTCTCTCAGCAGTGCCATTGGCAATGACTCCTGTGGCATGGAGGCAGACACCAAACACAACGACACTGACCGGTGCTGGGGGCCTCTGCGGCGAGTGGACGCCTACCGCATCTACTTGGTGAGTGCCCACACCTCTGCTCCCTAGCCCACCCTGGTAGGGCATTTGAACCTCCATTACTTCCTGGTAGACCCTTTCCCAGAGAGAGGGGTCTGCACACCTCCATGTTCTGGCTAATTACTCAGGTCTTGACCTCAGGCAGAAATGGATAGTATCACTTAGACTCTGGCCCCAGAGGGTCCTGGTAACCAGGCTTCAACATCATATGTGGTTTGGTATTGGTATTTGGGTCAGTGCCAGCTCCAGGCATAAACTTAGCTTGGGCTTTGAGGGACACTCTTTTTTTTTTTTGCAGTTTTTGGCCAGGGCTGGGTTTGAACCCACCACCTCCAGCATATGGGGCCAGCACCCTACCCCTTTGAGCCACAGGCGCTGCCCAGAGGGGCACTCTTAATACAGTTTTTTAAGAATGCTAGCTTTCATTTTCCAGAGACTTCCCGTACTTCCGCTTTGCTCCTGGCCAGCCCAAGTGCATGAGATTAGATGTGGGGTCTCCTGACTGGTCAGCAAGGCCTGATCCATCTCACAGATGACCCTGACTATAAACAAGCTCTCCAGACATGGGAGGATCAGCCCAGCTATCTTCCTGTCTTTCCTTCTCCCTGTGGACAAGAGAAGATGAATCTCCAGGCTTGTTCTTGATTGCTTTGTGCCATTGGGGGTGGGGGAGCTGAATCACATGCCAGATGGGTCTTAGATAATAAGATACACAACCAGAGGCGGGACTCGGAGAGATGTTTTCCTTTAACTTCTGCACTGTCTATTAATGTTCCCGGCTCCCTTTTGTTCCTCCTCAGCCCTGATACAGATTTGGGTGTGCTAGGTGACAGTTTGACAAGTGGCCACTTTACTGATTTATGGGGGGAGGCAGGAGCCAGGATAAAGCCAACTTTCTGGGGAGCTGACCTCTGGGCCTGATCAACTCCATCCTGGCAAAGGCTTCCACAGGCCCTGCCAGCTATATTATTTGGGTCTGGATTTGTTAACCCAAAGGGCTACTGAATAGAGTTTTTGCCTTCCCAGTCCCATCCTATAGGCCCTAAAGACACCCTGTAGAATGAACACAGCAGCTGAGGCACTGGGTGATATGGTGTCCCTCTCCACGTCTCTGCAGCAGCTGGGTGATGGTCTGTGCTGCTTCTCCCAGGAATTTGCCTTTTCGTAGGATCATACCCTCAATCCCCCCCCATTCAGGTCCAGTCAGAACTTGGTAGCAAGCTTATTGCCTTGTACCTGTGTCCTCCTCCCCAGCCCGGGGTGGGCAGACCTGCCAGGAGAGCCAGGCTCTGGCAGCACAGCTGAAGCCTCATTAGCCTCTCAGCATTTCAACAAACCATGATTGATAAAATTAGCAAGGGTATTAGTAAGGGAAGGCCCCATCTGGATGTCTCACGGGGCAGGTGGGCAGAGGAGGCAATGGAGCAAGGGGTCTGAGTGGCTGACTTGGACCCAAGACTGTGTCCAGGGCAGCCACACCAGTGCTGCTGGCATCTGTGCAGACTTGCCGGCCCACTTCCCTCACCCACAGCAAAATAGACACCGGGTGCTGAGAATATTGGCTGCTGCCATTTTCCTGGTAAATTATTTAGAAGCATTATTCTTGCCTTGTTAAATTGTTCCTTCACTTATTCCTATAAACTTTCCACATGATGGAAGTCTCCTTTCCTGAATCTCAATAACTCTCTGACTGAACAGAAGGAAGCCTTCAGGAAGGCAGACGGGCATTAATTACTGCCTTCATTGCCCAGATATTGCACTTATAACTCATGGAGCTAATTGCCACCACAGCCTGCAAAGGCTACAGAAACAAAGAGCAAAGGCTGTAGAACAGGAGTGGGGACCTGGGCTACCCCACGGAGCCTGTTCTCTCTGGGCCAGTGACTCCATCCCTCTCCTACACCCCAGGCCCCTGATGGGGGCTTCAATTTGTTAAGAAGACTTTTGGTTTCCTAGTGCTCTTCTCCCCAGTTTGGAGAAATTCAAGGTGGTTAAGTCTTGACATTGTCTTGGAAGTTACTTTACAACTTCTCATGTGACTCCCGGGGTTGAGGTTCTGCAGAACATAGGTGCTTTCAGCGCTCTGCAGTGAGTTGGGAGGGGCCCCTCCCTCAGTCTCAAGCCCTCTCCTCTCACAGGTGCTGATGGCATCTTCCTCCTCCTGAGACTGCCCTGCAGGCCTTATTTCTGTTGTCTTCATAAATGTCAGGGGAGCTGGATGCCATCAGGTGGCCTCTTCAGCCCTCAGGGAGGAGGGTCCTCCTTTCCCCTTGCACCTGAGTCATTCAGGTTCAAGAGATTGTCCATCTGTTTCAGAGACTCCACTGTGACTCTCACCAGCAGGCTTCACTCAAAATGTTCAGCAAGGCCGTGAGCATGGGAGGGGGCTAGTCTGGAGCACCTGCCTACCCCCTGCTCAGATCATCTCTGTCTCAGATGGATCATGTCCTTACCTGGGAGCATTTTTAAAAGGGCCTAGTGATACTTCTTCATGCTATTCTGGGACAGCGTGTTCTGGGACATAGATACAGGCTTTTATATTGTAGTCTAACTTTCAGAAAGTCCTCTGGAAATGAGCTCTTCTGTTTCTTCCCAGGAATGCTACCAGACACAGGCACACAATGGGAGTATTTGGTATAGTAACTATCCCCAGAGGCCAGCCTGTGCGTAGTATCATGATTGTGTACAAGAAGAGAGCTTTCTCTACCAGCAGCTACCACTACCAGTCAGCTCGCAAAGCCCTTGACCTTAACAAATGGAAAATTCCTCCTCCCCTCCTCGCATCCCTGCGACCCCCATACACGTGCTGTGATTCCCAGTGCAGCTGATATGAGTCAGTTTCTCCCTTTCCTTCTCTGGAGTTGCCAGAGAGCAGGGTGTTGTGAGGCGGAGGGTCCCCTGAGTCACTTGCTGCTTCCCATGGGCTCTCTGGGGTGTCACAGCAGGCTCCTGCAGCTGAAGCCACCGGTGACTGGGGCCTGTAATTAGGGTATGTGAGGGTTGTCTTCAGCAGCTGCCTTCAGCTGACCTTAGATTCTCAGACCTCTCTCTCATCCCTTTGAAGAACTAAATGGGGAAGTGCCAGATGCCCCAGCTCTTTTGGGCAGGTAACCTCGCCTCCAGGCTGGGGAGCATTTCCAGATTCCTTCTGTAGAATTCCTCCAGCTCTTGTAGGGAGCACAGTCAGAATTTGGCGTGCTGTTCCTTGCTATACAGTGCAAAGGGGCCAAGGCCCCCTGGTGAAGTGGTAGGATTATGTATAAATCAGTTCCATCCAGGATTCACACTGTCCTGAGTGTCTGGGATACAGGTGTGTCTCTTTCTCCCCAGGGTCAAGGGCACTGCCCAGCACTCTTATGCATTTCCTTATTCCTGAAGTACCTTCTAGGCCTTGCCTAAGACTCATATCTTCTAGAGAATGTCAGAGGGAAGCCCTGCAGGGACAGTGGGGACTCCCTAAGTGCTGAAAGCCACTCATTGTTAAGAAGAGCAAGTAGCATTTGCCACTTACAGGTGGACAGATGCTGCTGTGTTGCAGGTGGCCCAGCAGGCACTGGCCACGCAGAGCCAGGAGCACAGATGGCAGACCGGAGCTTATCCTGGCTGGAGACCCGGTCACAAACTGGCCATGTTGAGCAGGGGGTCCCTTGTTGGCGGCCTTGGGACAGGACAAGGTCACCCTGGCTTTGCCATCCTATCTTGAACATGGGAAAACTGTGAACCCTACCTCTGAGACACAAGTGATTTTTGAGAGAGATGGGGCCTGCAGGTTCCTGGCCAGTGACTAGCCACCCTGTGCAGGCGGTGAGTCCTTCCCAGGCCCCTATACCCCTTGAAGAAGCGGGAGTGAGAGGACATTTCTGCCTGCTAGCCTCTATTCTGAGTAGGTCAGGCTAAGATTCAGGTTCAAGCTGACAGTGGCAGGGTCCTTCCAGGCCTTTAGCAGCAACCCTGTTTTCTCTCCCTCTGCCAGGAAACCATGTTTTCCGATTCTATCTTGCCTCCATCTCACATAACAACACTGGCCTTTGTTTGCAACACTAAAATGGTGTGCAGTCCCCTTTTCAAAATGAAATGGTCTCCTCCTAAAATAGTACCCCTTAAGGAGAAAATATCCTCTGGGTGAGGGGTTGGGAGTAATGCGCCCACATGGCAGTGCCATGCAAGCTTTAAATGTTCCTCCCCACCTGAGGTTTTGGTAATATCATGTCACTGTTCCCAGTAACTGCACATTTATGAGTTAGGATCCCAGCCACACTAAAGTACATGGTATCATCCCATTTTTCAGCAGAGAAAACTGAGACTCAGAAATGGTGGTTTCCCCGGGGTCTTGGAGCTGAAGCAGACAGCAGCTCACCTCTTTGGATTCATCCTCTTGCCCTGCTGACACAGACTTGCTCTGCTTGCCTGAGCTTCCATTCTGCAGGCCCTGCTCTCGGGGCGGCCTCCACCGCAGTGCACAAAGGGGGGCAGGGAGTGCCTGTTTGTCAGCCCTGGGAGCTTGACATTTGCAGAGAGCTGGGATGACACTGCTGAGCGTGGTGTCTGGCGAGTGATCTGTGTTTGCACATCCGGCCCGTCGTTGACTTGATTGACACACTATCTCTTGTTGCCACTCACTCCTGGATAGTGAAGCCGACTTTTCCTGGGCACTCAAGCAGCCTTGGAATTAAGTGCCTCTTCCCAAGGACATTTCCCTCCCCTGCCATAGTCTCTGTCTGTTCTTTCAGCATCAGCCACTGTGCCCTGGGGCTGTGGCATCTGCTAATAAGTGGGTCACTGCTGCCATCACTTGAATATTTATTCTTACCAATTCTGGGGCAGAAGGTGGCCTAGAGGCCTCCAGGACCAGTGAGGAGGGAAAATTAACGGGAAGCAACAAGTTTGGGGAGCAACATTGACTTTACAGGACTTGGGGACGCTCAGGGACACTGTGGCACACTTCCAGGGGCACCACTTGTGTTTCCTGTGGCAGTGGTGCCCCCACAGCACAGCCCTGGCAG